CGTATTGGTCTCCTGGTTGCTTGACTGGTTGTCTCCCAGTGGAAAATTGTTGAAGATGAAGAATGAGACAATGTGACTATTGTCAAATGTGGTGTACACAACACATTGACTTCGAGGGGAAAAGAACTGAACTTCATGTTTCTTTGGGGGTAATTGACCATTTATGGCTTCATAGGCTTGTTTGTTTCCAAATCAGTTCAGATTTATCAAGCTTTTCCTGGATAAAAGACAGGTGGAATAAAATGAGGAGGAAAAGAAAAAAAAATAAGGAAACAAAAAAAATACACCCTCAGATTATTTCTCTGAGATACAGACCATAACATAATATTTATTATAAGAACAGAAGCCAAGCAGTTACAATCACTCTGACATTGTTGAAATTCAATTTTATTTCAAATCCCTTTTCTCTCTCTCCACAATATTATGACATTTTAATGGGCATATGATTCTCACTTCTTTAAATCAACCACAGCTACATCTGAACTGCACTGAACTTCATTTTGTATAGGAACGTGAGTTCCTATACAATCTTGGGTTCAGGTAGCTGGTTCGAGGTTGACTCAATCTTCCATCATTCTGGGGTCAGTAAACTGAGTACCTAGCTTCTTGGTGTGGGTGGGGGGGAGGCCATGTGTCACCTACATAATTAAACTGTAAACTGTCCAGAGAGAGCTTCAAGTGTTCTGGGATGATATATAAGCAGCACACTTTTACTAAGGGCAGAACCTGGGCTTCTCACTGTGCACAATGGAAGATCATCATTTACTAAATCTTTTGGCCTCCAGTATACTCTGTCAGATGCCATGGGTTGGTCAGTCGGTCGGTCAGTCAGTGTGTCTGTCTGTCTAAATATTTAAATATTAAATATTTTAACCCACCTTTCTCCTTAAAAAGGACCCAAAGGGGCTTACAACAATCAAAATACAGCAATTGTCAGTAATACAAAAAGCCAAACAAAAACAAAACCCATAAGCCACACCAAGATGCCTTAAAAAGGACCCAAAGTGGCTTACAACAATCAAAATACAGTAATTGTCAGTAATACAAAAAGCAAAACAAAAACAAAACCCATAAGCAACACCAAGATGCCCTCAGTGCAGTAAGGTACAACTCCCACTCAGGCAACTAGGTACCGAGGGAAGGCTTGCCTGGAAAAGAAGGTCTTTGCATGCTTTTGGAAGGACAGCAAAGATTGAGTCAGCCTGGGAGGGAGCTCCAGAGTGTAGGAGCAGATACAGAGAAGGCTCTCTCCTGTGTTCCCATCAAATTGCAGTTGTGAAGGTGGTGGAACTGAAAGAAAAGCCTCTCCTGATGATATTAACACTCAAGTTGGCTCACAATGGGAGATAACTTGGGCCCAAGCCATTTAAAGCTTTATAGGTTAGAACCATCACTTTGAATTCTGCCCAGGAGTAGATCAGCAGCCACTGGAGCTGCTGTAACAGGCAGGTTGTGTGATCTCTGTGTCCAGCCCCAGTTAGCCATCTGACTGCTGCATTTTGGACCTGCTGACATTTCCTGACACTTTCCATAGACAGTGCCAGGTAGGCACAGTAATCTAGCTAGGATATAATTAAGGCACCTGTCACTGTGGTCAAATCAGACCTCTCCAGGTGCAGCTGGTGCACTAGTTTTAACTGTGCAAATGCACTCCTGGCCCTAGCCGAAATCTGGGCATCTAAACTCAGAGATGAAGCCAGGAGTACTGCCAGGCTGTGCACCTGGGTTTTCAGGAGGAGGACAACCCCGCCCAAGCACAGGCTGCATCCCTATTCCCTGATCTGCCTTTCAACTGACCAGGAGCACCTCTGTCTTATCTGGATTCAGTTCAGTTTATTCAGCCTCATCCAGTTCATTACTGGCACTAGACACTGATCTAAAAATGAAAATACTGTATCTAAAATATCATAATTTTTAAAAGCCAGTTAACTCATGATTTCCACCAATACAAATCAATTTAATGAAAATGCACATGTAATTTCTTAAGCTTACAATACAGCCTCAAAACCCATGTGTTTTCCAATAACCTCACTGTCTTCCTCAGCATAACTCAAAAACCATCATTTAGCCTACATCGATGGCTTAGCAAGCAAATCCTGCAGTTCTTAAGATATAACTCGCCAACTTCTTTTGACATTTCTGTATCCAATCCATTACATTTAACTGCTCTAATGTAGATAATATGGTAAGGTTAAGTCATGTATCAGCTGTTAGTTTTATTTTCCTGGAATATCTGTGATAAAGCAGAACAACTCTGGCTGCAATGGACCATAATAATATTTTTTTGGCTCTGACAAGAGCAGATGAGGTCACCGAAGGCAACCTCAAAAATGTCATCCAAAAATTCTTCTGCCTAATTTCAGATTATCATTTTGGTGTTTTGTTCCCAAACCTTGACCCCATTTAATAAGGCAAAGACCTTCACAGAGAGAATTTTCGAGACCGTATCTACTAGCTATGCTCTTTTGCTACAGAAAATAATTAGGAGATGAAAAATTGTCCTAACAACTGATAATTTAATGGGTGTACTTTGATTGGACTTTTGGCTGGTACTGCATCTTGTTCATCAAATAGCTACTTCTCAACTTGTTTCCAATGACTGATGTGATATTCCAATTATTTTTTTTAAAAAAATCTGATTGGTTTGTTCTATCTTCTGCCCACTGCAATCAAAGAATAATGAATGAAGGAGCTAAGATTTAGCAGGTTATGTCGTTAGAAGAGAAACTCATGTTTTCCCTTTACATCTGCACTGAGATAGATTATATATCTGAACATTTAGGAGAACTTTTGCCTTGTCCAATTGCTGTTGTGTTGATACAGCACAAGATGAGGAGAGTGCCCAAGTCCTGCTCCCCATCAGATCTGTTGCCCTCCTGCAGGTGAAGGCCAAATGTCTCAAGCTAAAATCCTTTGCTGTCCAGGAAGGCTCTCCTCATGAGTCAGAAGTCAAGGAAGTCTGGGTTCTGACTCTTAACAGACAGTGTCCATAGGCCCCAGGGAGCCTCTGCTTCAGATGATAATCCTTCTTTCATAGAAACATGACGGAAGTGATTAACAAAGGGGCATGGAAATAGCGCATTTCCTTCTCCAAGAGGCACTCAGCAAGAACTGAATTGGGTTTTTCTTTGGGGATACAAACCTCTTAAAGAATGGCAAAGTGACACAATGTTCTTGGATGCATGCACTGTTGCATCAGTGCAATGTAGGCATTTGTGATAATTATTTTTAGCAGAGTTTGGCTGGTGAATAAAGTGAGCTTACGGCTGTCAATTAAGCATAATCTCTCAAGATGCTCATGGTAGGATGCTTCTAGGTTGTTACTCCTAGAAATTCATTCAGGATGAGGAGGAAAAAAATGTAGACTTGAGTACAGATGCCTCTAAAATTGTGCACTGAAGACTAGCATAGAGGCCTTCTGTTCTGGATGAAGGAGAACAAAGGAAATAAAATTGTTTCCTTGAAAAAGAGAAAATGATGTAGAAAAAACTGATTTAAAGGCAACAATATACAAGTTATCACTTACTGTATAGAAAACCAAGAGAAACCAAGATGCTTGTCTATTTCCACCCACACAGTACTTTAAATACAATGTTGCTGTATTTAGTCTAACATACAGGCTATGTGCTGTGATTAAGGAAGCAGAGGGCTCTTCCATAGGAGATATTTGCACGTATTTAAATTCCTGAAGGGATTTCCCTCATTTTCCAGATGACATTTTTTTTATCTTGCTGTATGGCATGGATTAGGATTTCTTGCTTAAATTTCTGCTCTCTCTCTCTCTCTCTCTCTCTCTCTCTCTCTCTCTGTGTGTGTGTGTGTGTGTGTGTGTGTGTGTGTGTGTGTGTGTGTATGTGTGTTCGGCCCTCTCAAGCACCTTAGTTTATTTTGTGCCCCTTTTGTTATGCTTCCCTTCACTGTCTGAAGCTTACCATTAAAAAAACAACAACCACACACCTCAGTGCCTGCATCCAAAAGCAGTGGTCATGGTGGCTTAGCACTCTTGTTCTTCCCCAGTGACAAAAGAAAAGAAGGAAGGAAAACAGAGGAAGATGGAGCACAGCAGTAACAGGGCTGTAGAGCTAGAGGTGGTAGCAAAAGAGAACCCCTTTTTTTCATACCAAGAAATGCCATGTGTAAGGAAGGTAAAGGAAGGAGAGTTGCGGGCTGAAAACCTTGGGAGACAACAATTGCTCCCCTAGATCATCCACCATCTGGACACAGCTTACAGTAGCTCATGGTAAATCCCTTTATTTCAGTGGTTCTCAACCTTGGGTCCCGAGATGTTCTTGGACTACAAATCCTAGAAATCCTTGTCAGCACAGCTAGTGGTGAAGCTTCTGGGAGTTAGTCTAAGAACATCTGGGAACCCAAGGCTGGGAACCACAGATTTAACTGCTGCATAAAAAGGAAACAATCAGAAGAATGGAGGAGAGCCCAATTAGTCTAAGAACATCTGGGAACCCAAGGCCGGGAACCACAGATTTAACTGCTGCATTAAAAGGAAACAATAATCAGAAGAATGGAGGAGAGCCCAGAAACAAATCATACAGGATCATGTATTTGTTCTTCTTGTTCAGCTACATCCTCTGATGTAAGCACGAGTTGTGAAACTCCACATACCGGATTGGTTCCCCCCCCCCGCTTGTTTTCTTTTCTTTTCTTTTTAAAGCTCTTTAAACACATTTCTGCAACTCAAATCTTCCATAGCTGTTTAAAGGGATATGGAATAATGGTCAAATATTTATTCACTCCATGACCCTACAAAAATCACTTTGGCCATAGCAACAGCAGACCATCTGATACTAATCTGGACTAAAACACTGGCGTCCCTTGGAAACGGAGTATTTGAGGAATCTTCCATACAGGAGAAGGGAATATTTGAGAGGCAGCTGGGACGTCACAGGCATGCCAGGTATGTGAGAGGAGAGCTTAAATCCAAACAGCGTCTTTATGAATTGTTTGGAGCGAACTTCAGCAGCGGCCTCTGGTGTGGCAGAACTAGCTGTTTCTTGTTCTGGGGTGTTGTCGCACAGTTGTTCTCAACCCAAGTGAAAGGCTTGTGAATAAAAATATCAAACCATAACAATGCAAGAGAGCTGCTGATGTTCACAGAGCCCTTCTTTTGGCAACAGCACTAACCGTTCAATCCAAAAAAAGAAATGTCTTGTTTGTGACTGGGTGGGCTAGCTGACGCACTCCAAGATCTGGAATAAAAGAGATGAGCGTCTGTTTCATAACAATCCAGAGATGATGTAAGTATGTACAAGTTTCTCTTGCATGCCTCCTTCTCTTCTGTGCTTTTTTCTGCTTTATAGAGACCAGGAACCAATGCATACTGAGCTACTGTATCTATATCTGTTTTTCATTTTTATCTAACACCAAGGAGGCTGCTGATGTCTTGAATCTGGTAGGGTAGGGTAGCATAAATGATACCCTGGTAGGGTAAATGATGCGTCTGGTAGGGCTTTAGATGAGGGACTCAGCTTACTTTGGATTCCCCTTAAATAAAAAGCTTTGCTGTCTGGGGTGTTCCTGGACTGGCCTTTAGACCTAGGTGCCCAGGAGGTCACTACAGCTGTGGAGGACTTTGTCTAGTCTAGGCTGATGCATCATTTGGGATCACATCTGAAAAGTTGGTCCCAGATGCTTCTCTGGTGGAATGTTTCTCTCGGAGTGGTTGTTTGTGCATTTTTCGGGTTCTTTGGCTGTGTTCTGAAGGTTGTTCTTCCTGACGTTTTGCCAGTCTCTGTGGCCGGCTCTTAACTTGCTTGTTTTACCCGGCCACCTTGAACTGGTTTGGAATAGAATATTGTTTTCTTTGCTATGTTTGTCTATGTTAGTTTTGTTTAATTTGTTCTTATATTTTGATATTACATCCAGTGGCCTGGTACCTATATGTGGAGCAGAAGGGCAATTGCATTACATTAGGTGACCCCCAAGCTTCCAGTCTCCACAAAAGTGGGAGATTCGGCTCATGAGAGGGAGTGCGCCAGAGCAAGGAAGTTGCCCTTCGCTCCCCACTTGGTAAATAGAATATTGGCCTATAATTATAACTGTTATTTAATTATCTTGAGTTCAATATTTTCACCTGTACATATACATGTATTAGAAAGACATAGTGAATGTATTTATAGCCCTTTATGGCTAGCTTCCAGGGTACCTGAAGCACCGTATTTCCCCATATGAGCCTTCGCAGTCTTTCAGATTTTCAGAGGAGACCCTTCTCTCCGTCTCATTGCCAGTGCAGGCATGATTGATAGGGATGCGGGAGAATGGAGTGCTCTCTGTTGAGAGACCAGGATGACCCCCTCCCTACTCGTACCCTTACGCCAACAGCTGGAGACCCATCTTGTCAGGCAGGCTTTTAATCTATCACGATTGAGTCCTTGGATGACCTCTTAAAGATAATTTTTAATGTTTACCTGCTTTTAATTATTCAATTGTATTTTAATAAGTGTATCATTTAATTTTTTTAAATGTTTAACTTATTATGTTTTTAATTCTATTCTTTTAATATTGTGAGCAAACTGAAAGGAGGATTTATTATTCTTATAGGTCGGACTGAGGTACAATGATGCTTGTCTCATTTTATATTCATTTCTCAGACAGGAGAAACATCACATATGTGCATCAACAGTTATTCATTAATTTCTAAAAATGGAGGGAAAAAGAATTTATGTTTGAAGTGAGACCTTAGAACAGCAGAGCCAAACGGCTTGGGTCCAAGCTATCTAGAAGACTGCATCTCCCTCTGTGAGCCTGCCCAGGCATTAAGATCATCAGGGAGGCCTTTCTCTTGGTCCTATCACCCTCAGAGGTGCACAAAGTGGGGACCCTGGAGAGAGCAATCTCTGTTGCTGCTCCCAGACTTTGGAACTCCCTCCCACAGGAGCCAGACCAGCCCCATCTTTGCTGTTCTTCCGAAAGCAGGCTAAGACCTTTCTATTCAGGCAGGCTTTTCTTGGTGGTCTGAGAGAGGTTTTAAATGGATTATTGTGCTCTCGTTCAATATTTTCACCTGTACATATACATGGATTAGAAAGACATAGTGAATGTGTTTTAATATTAATTTTATTTACCATTTTAATATAATACTTCTTTAATACATCATTTAATACATCAATTCTGCTCAGGCAGGCTTTTCCTTAATAACTGGTGTTCTGAGAGGGTTTTTAAATGGATTATTGTGCTCTGACAATTTAAATGTGTTTTAATAATATTTTATTTACCATTTTAATATAATACATCATTTAATACATCATTTTAAAAAATTGATTTTTTAAAATGATGTCATCCATCTTGGGTCCTATTAAGGAGAAAGGTGGGAGATCGATCGATCGATCGATAGATAGATAAGGGACTCTCTGGACCATTGAGTCCAGTTCTTATGAGGGAGGCATAGTGGGGAATTGAACTCCCAACCTCTGGTGTTGCAGACAGATACCTGAGCTATCCAGCAGTTAACAACTACAAACCCCAACCTTCAACTTGACTAGAAATCTACAGTTTACATTTGCTAAATTTGAACTGAGGAAACATAATTCCACTATTTCTATTACAGAGAGTAGCACCCAAAGGCAGTTCCTGAGATGTTAAAAAAAAGTTTGTGTTTGCTCTTTGTAATATAGATCCGCCTAGTCATTCATTTCCCTTTGAAGCGGCTTCTGCACCACCTTATGAGCTGATGGAGAGCACATCTGCAGAAGAAAAGGAGGGTACAGAAGATTCCGGTAGGCAGAGTCTCTTCTGTTTTACATTGACAAAGATTATGATTATGTGTAGGCAGTGAAATAAATCTGGACAAAATGAAAAAACAAACAAACCAAAACATGTAACACAAAATTTCTTGTTTATATTTGAATTATTCCCCCCTCCCCCACTCCCAACCCGGCAATTAGACATTTCTTCCAGCATTTCTGTTGTGAAAAAGATGAACTAAACCAATCAGGCAGTGGGAACACCTCCTCTTTAAATAATAATAAAACTGTTTTGTAAAAGGTAAAAATAATCCAGCTGAGGAGCACTTACCTTTCCTCTCTTGTCTTCAATGTGCAGCCTGAAAAAGATGGCCAGGCATCTTGCATTAACTGCAGGAATTGCACCTGCAGGTTATTTCCCTCCACATTTCCTCAATGTGTACTGAAAGCCAATACTGTACATTGGCAATTTCTAGCTTTCCTTTCTTGTAAAGGAAAACAACATTTCTTCCCCTTGTGTAGCTGAAGAAAGTGCAAAACTGTACAAGATAGTAATTTGGCCATGCGGCTGGATTAAGACAACCTGCCTAGTTCCATACTGTGGTTTCCACAATGATCAACCAGATACATCCAGGTGAAAAGATTATACACAGGACAGAAAGTGGTCTCTTTGTTTTAATAGAGGCTCTTTGTTTTTTAAACTAAACATTAGTAGAAGTACTCTAATACTTGGAGGCTTTTTTTTTCCTGGGAGAATTAGAATATCCTTGACTGGGCAGAGGACTGGAAGGGAAATCTTCTTTAAACTAAACATTAGTAGAAGCACTCTAATACTTAGAGGGTTTTTTCCCTGGGATAATTAGAATATCCTTGACTGGGCAGAGGACTGGAAGATTAGGAAGCCTACTGGCAGGGATGCTTTAGCTCTGGAGGGTTTTTTTTAATTATTATTATTTTGTTTTTGTTTTTTTGCTTCAGCAGAGTTTTGGACTCAGTGAACCTTGGTGTCCCTCCTAGCTATGTTCTACACTGCTATGAAATGCTGACTACCTTCCCTTATACTGGCATATCCTAATTCAAATACCTTTATTTGTTCCCTCTGTCCCACAAATCTAGAATTATGGGCTGGCCTTTCCTCACCCTCTGATCCAGTCATCAACTTCCCAGTCATAGGACTGCTACGTCCACAGCGCACAGTCATGTCACTGTTCACTATACAGATATTCAGTTTGTGCTGATATTTTATTATTGAATGATGTAAAGTGGTCTTAGTTTATCCGTTCTGCCTCTGAATTAATTGAATAGGACAAAGTTACTCATGCTATTAAACTAAACATTAGTAGAAGTACTCTAATACTTGGAGGCTTTTTTTTTCCTGGGAGAATTAGAATATCCTTGACTGGGCAGAGGACTGGAAGGGAAATCTTCAGATTAGGAAGCCTACTGGCAGGGATGCTTTAGCTCTGGACATTTATGATGATGATGATGATGATGATGATGATGATGATGATGATGATGATGATGATGATGATGATGTTGTTTTTATTTTTTTGCTTCAGCAGAGGTTTGGACTCAGTGAACCTTGGTGTCCCTCCTAGCTATGTTCTACACTGCTATGAAATGCTGACTACCTTCCCTTATATCCTAATTCAAATACCTTCATTTTGTCTCTTCTTTTATACAGAAAACACATCCCTGGCTGAATCCTCTCGTCTGTTACCCAAGGATGAACACAAGGAACTTCCTCCTCATCTAAGAGACTGGAAGTGAGATGCTTCTTTATTAACTGCATCTCTCTCTCTCTCTCTCTCTCTCTCTCTCTCTCTCTCTTCCTCTTTCTCCTTCTCTTTT